GGAGCTGAGGACAGTCAAGAGGTCTGAAAGGGGGTGGTTACCCCTGCAAGCACATGGGAAAGAAACAGCCTTACGAAAATATTTTGTCAGTTTTCAGCAGATTTAGGCAAGGCTGTAAAGCTTGAGAACAACGGGGCGAGTAGAGGATGCATGTTTGAATAAACATACAGCGTTTGTGCACAAATCAGAGCAAGAGGGAGACAGGAGCGCTAAAAGCTGAAATAAAAGTTACTGACAAATGATGTAGGCATCTCAGGAGCAAGAGAACCTCGTCAGGAACACAGTACACTGGAACTTTGTTTCAATCAGCTGTTCGCTTATCAGACCACAGAAACGTGATCTGCTTTGGTTCCCAGTGCCCAAACAGGTAGCACGTTTTTCCCAAGTACCTTCTAGCAGTAACTTCCAATACACACACAAAGTTTAGCAAACGGAAGGGCAAAAGCCTCTCCAGGCTCTGTTCTTTGAAAAAGATTGTAGGCACCAATGTTTGGGGTAGGATGACCGTACCTGTTCACCTCAAAACACAGCCCCTTAGCAGTCAAGATTCCATCTTCTGGCCAGAGGCCACGAAGACACATTCTCTCTAGCTCTGCCTCACTGCTGGGCTTTTACTCCTTTCTGTTAAAAGGTCAGAAAACTCGAGGTGTTCATACAGGTATAAATTGCAGTTAGCCAGGAGATTCCGGTGTCATGGACTGCAGGGCAGCACATGAGGCATAAGGGGTTTAGGTTTTTGGGGTTGCATTTTTGGGGAGGGGTGTATGTGTGGTTTTTTGTTTCTTTGTGGTGTGTTTTGTTTTTTGATTTGTTTGTTTGTTTAAAAAGATTTATCATCTGAACTACAGTTGGCTTCAGGGGTCAAGAAGAAAGACTGAGGCCAGGGCCCTAATGTGAAACAATTTACAAAGTCTGTTTTGTGCCAAAAATAGCATTCTATATCTCAATTTGCTACTAGAATTACAACAGAAAATTCTTTGTAGTGAATGTAATACTTATACAAGCCAAATGCTCAACTCATTTCAGTAAGTGATTACACACAGACCAATAAATCCTCCTGAAAAGTCACACTGTCCTAGATGTCATTATAGTGCATATTAAATAGGGATTTAAAATTTCAGACAAAAGTATTTCTGTAGCAAACAAACTTATTTACTATGTCAATTTTAAACTAGCTCTTGAGGGATTTCAAGGCTGTCCAGTACTGGCTGGCAGGTTTCAAGATTATTCTTGAAAAGCTGTGTGCAATCTATGCATATTTTTTAAAATCATTAATTGATAAAAAGCTCAATGTCTGTAAAGTGTGAAGTCTGCAGATTATGTCCATTTTTCTTATGGAAAGAAGCAAGCCAGCACACTGCATAAGAAATGAAGAATGTCAATAATGATATAATTTCAATTTAAAAATAATTAAACCCTTAACTTCAATAAGACTGTATCACCTTGAGAAAATTTAAAACCATAGAGCGCAGAACGTACCAGTTGGTATATTTTCTTCTTTCCATGTGGTTAATCTATATTCTTTTAAATCTAAAGGTTTTCACTCCTCCCTTTCCCCAAAAGGTGGGCAAGGTATGATTTGAAAGCAAGCCTGAAAAAGGGAAATAATGCCGACTCATTTAATAAAGTCTTTAGAGTGGGTTTGCTACATGTCACTGATGATGTAGCTCATGAGGAACATTTCACTGCTGAATGACCTATTCAGAGAGAAGTGGAATGGAAGAGATGCCTTGGGAAGAGCCCCAAAATTTATTGTGTGAGGTTAAAAAAAAAAAGAAAAAATAGAAGGAAGGAGAAGAAGAGAAGCAGCATAGGACAGAACCAGCACTGTTTCTAACAATGATCGTACTTCCTCATCAGATGAAGTAAGAGGTGTTTACCAAGTAAATAAAGATATATAAAAAAAAAAAATCAATATATTAAAGGTATTTATGATTATTAATTTTATTCTCATTGCAGTTTCCCAGGATGCAGCTGAAATAGAGTAAGTTTGGTCTACCTTTAAGAATTGGAAGTGTTTTAAAAAAATCAACACTTTTCAGTGGGCAAAACTTTAATAATAACACCATAAAACAATTATACAAAAATCATGTACATATTTTGGCAGCTCTAAACAATATATATATATATACTTGGTTTTACTTTGCGGAAAAGTAACTTTTGACAGTTTTAGATTGTGACTGGCTGTAGCTGGAAAAAAAAATAATAATTTTTCTCCAATAGGGCAGTTGGATGTTTGACAGCACATCAGATTTGTAACAAGAGACTTACTGTATGAGTAAGCCAATAAAGCTGTTCCAGACATGATGATTGGAAAACAACAGTACACCTAGTGTCTGCCCTGGATAGTACTGTTTTGACAGGAGGAACAAGGAAATGTGGGTCAGAAGAAACCTGTTTTTTCTTTCGAGGTGGTAGAAATCAAGCTACAAAACATGAGCCAAAAGATGAGAAGCATTACATAGCACTTGTGCCTCCAATATTTCATTTTCCCCCGAGGCTGCTGGAGCCATAAGCGTAACAGTAGGAATTTATTAAACTTAGAAAAAACCCCACACTCCTTCCAATTCAACAGCATACTACATTATCATTGACCAGATTACAAAATTCAAAACAGCTAAATACTTGGGATTTTGGGAAGGGGCTGGGGAAGGGGAAGAGGAAGAAAAATATTGGGGAAAAAAGTACTCTAGCTCCAAATGCATTTTACAATCTCAAAAAAACCCACACATTTCAATGATGAAGTACCAGTTTGCCTTGGTTAAAAAGTCACAGAAGCCTTCAGCTTCAAAGTACAGCAATTTTTTTTATTATGAGAAAAGAAAAATACTCAAGATGGACCACTAGATTAAGATGCTATTAAAATATAACCACGAAGGTCAATAAAAATGAATTTCTTTATGTAGTTGGGAAGAGAGGTTATTTGAAGTATGAAAGAACTGGGTGTGGGTACTTCACAGCACAGTAATGCTTCCAATGGCTTAACCGTACGAGCCAACTGTTTTACATTATAGGTCTCAGTTTTGTATCAGAAGATCTACAGGTGTTCCTCTATATATTTCTTTTGGAATTTGGGAGATTACAGATTTGGGTTTTGATTATTTTTTTTTTTTTAATTTTGGGTATCTAATATTTAATGAATACATATGCAAGTACACACAGAGAAGCGTATAGGTATCTCGGTTTTAAAAGGCATGTTTTTCCTCTTTTTCATACAATCAACACTCCTTTTTGAAATCTTGCTTCTCCTGCCCCATGCTATATTCTCCACTACAATTTGTTATTTGGCGGTGCAGACTCCAAACATCGATATGTAGTACAGCATTAAGGAATTTCCTGAGTCAGGTTTATTCATCATTACCTGTAAAAAGCAGGAGAGGGGGAGAGAAAGGGTGAGAAGAAGCGACAAACACACACAGCAGGAAGCTGGCATTACAAAATAAACTAGAAGCCACAATTTAGTAAGCGATAACACAGGAATTCACTGAGTCAGTCACCAATGAGGTGACTGCTACCGAAGCTGCCCTGAAAGCACTATGTGTACCAATACTGAACAACATGTCAACTTTCTTGGAGTAGTGAAGTTAAGACAGTTTCATCTCAAGTGGCCTGCTTCAGTTAGAGCCATCCTCTTAGTAAAGAGCAATACAGATGTTTTTTCTAACTTTTCTTATTGGAAGAGTATAAAACTTTTGAGACAGAAGCTCATGAACGTGCTTCTGACTGTCACTTGTCCTCTATTCACCTTTATTAGCATAGGATTTTTTCTTTACATGTCTGCAATTTAAAGAACTACTTTAAATGTAGTTCTTTATGTACTTTAGTACTAAAGTACTACATGTACTTTCAATGTCTGAAATGTAAAGAACTTCTCTTTACATTTTTGCATGCTACAAGAGATTTGTAAAATACAGAATTAGAACTGAAGCTATTAAAAATAGCCATTTGTTAATCAGCATTTTGCAAGATGAAAGCTTCTTTTAATAGATTCACTCAGACAACAGCTTACAATTTGTAGCCAACGTTTCAGCAAATTGTCATTTAAGCCTTTTAGTGCTAGTTTTAAAATATCCTTAAGGTGAAGTGGCAAGGGAAAGAAATTGGAACAACACTACAGTTACCATTTTCTTCTTCTACTTTATCAGTCCTTTGGACATTTGAAAAATGAACTACTACAATATATCTTTCCAATTCTGTCATTAAATCAACAAATAGTGGTTGAAAAAATTTTTTTCAGACACTTTTCTGAAATACTTGTATAACTGTGAAAACAGCATGGTACTGGTTATTCTTACTGAGTGGCTCTATATCAACAGCAAAGAAAAATTGACACAATGTAATTCATATTAGAATTTTAAAACTAGTTTAAGACCTTTTCCCCCCAAGCATTGACACATAAAAACCACAGAAAGCTGTAATCTTATTTGACCCTTTATCCACTGCTATCACAACATATTTGTAAAAGATTTAAAAGATGCAGAAAGTAGATGTTGGTTAACATGCATTAGAATGTTTTTTCAAAATTGAAATGTATTAAATAGTGATCATTGCGCACATTTCTAAAGCTAATATATAAAGCTTCTGATTTCTATAAAAATTATAATAGAGATTTTAGATTTCTTTTTTTTCTCTCAAGTAAAGACTTTTGTCATTAGTAATCTAAAATTATGCAACTGCAGTTGAATTTTTGACATGAGAGAAAAAAAACACAACAAAACCCATTTCTCATTGATAGTGGTCTGTGTGGAATTTCGTAGAGTGACTCTGAAAGATCCAGGAACTCTCTGTCTGGCCAGTAATCTGTGCTAAGCTAGGCAAGGCTCCCAAGCAAGATAAATTCTCCTCAGGTATTACTGAGCCACCTGAAAACTAACGTGGATGGTACCTGTGCATCAAGTTCTTCTGAAAAATGACACCTATAGGATAACGAGCCACATGAAATTTCCTTTTCAGAAAAGCAGTGATACCGCAACCCGTTAGAAGTAGAGTTTTAGAAAGAACAATGCTATTTTAGCTAGAAAATCGTTAATTCTTAAGATAAAATTGTTTTGCATTCTGAAAGTTTTATTCTAGACTTCCATCTTCCCAATCTGCGTCACTGTTCCACATAAATTAATTACACTGCACCTTTCATAAGACAACTGCTGTTACGGTTGACTGTGCATGTACATACTGTTACATCAGAGTGGTCAGCATGCGTAATCAAAGTTTGTCATGTTTTGTTGCAGGAATGAAAATACCCTTTGTGAAAAAAATATTTCTATCAATTTAGTCAATCAATGTAACAAAGCATAGATGTGTTTTAAAAATATATTAGGACCTACTGTATGTAACCAAGAAAGAACAAACCGTAGTTGCCAGGATACACCGAGATTACCTTCTTGGTAGACTCCGTCTGCCATTACTAGGTGGAGTATTTTGGCATACAGGTGTTTGTGTTCATTTCCAAGAATAGTCTGAACTATGGTTGAACAAATATCAATATTTTCATCTTCATCTTCATGTACAGCCTGGGAGAAAGGACAATCCATGTTGCTAAAATTAAAACAGGTATGGAATTAAATAGTTCAAACTTACTAAATGCAATTCATGGTTAAACCCAGTTTTCCTCCTTAATCCACAGGCATGGCATTTTCTCTGGTAATATTTTAATGTGCCAGAATAAAAGACTAAAGAAATAAGCATTGATTCTAGTCACACGATGCGAATAGTTACTGGCACAGTAAACAGCCCAAGGTATTTGTTTCTTAAAATATTTTCCACTTGAGGTTATTCCACAAACCTTTATTTTCTCATAAGCTTCAATTAATTTATCAGAGCCTATTTCCTGCTCCAGGTTATATCTCAACTCTTCCAAATGGCTGAAGATACTATCACATTCTTCACATTCACTGGCTATCTCTCCATCACTATTATCTGTAAAGAAAGGAAACAACAGTAAAACCTCCTCAGTCTTCCTAAATTCTTCATGTTTTTTCTGCCTCCCTAAACTTGATATCCACACAGACCTCTAAATGTTGTGAAAGCAGGTGAGCTCAGGAGCACAATGTTGTCAGATGTTCTGAACCACCTGCAAGGAAATAGGAACAGTCCCTTCCCTGACAGCAAAGAAATTCTGAATCCCAAATGAGAAGCATCTAGTCATCTCCTCTAAAACCTCACTCTGATAGTTAACTGTAAGGGTATTCCTAACTGAAGGAAAACAAGGAATGGCCTTAAAGCAGACTTTCATTTACCAAAGCAATGTTAGGAGGTCAAGTTCCATATAACCATTCCACATATTTCTGAGGTGGAACTGATGCAGGGTTCAGTGGCTGTCCTACTCGAGGGAAAAGAGCTCCTTAATGAAGCAGCTGTCTTCTATCAGAAAATAAGGACATGTATTAAGAATCAGTTGTTTAATGTCTGGTCTGAGATGCATCTTGTTCCATGGAGCAAGTCTAGAAAACCCAGTACTAATTTAGCTACAAAGTTCTTCATTCTTTTATGAGTGCATCTCCTTCGTGTTGCAAATTCAGTATGCCAATTGGTGCAATAAGACACATGAGAGAAGCCACAATGATGCTGCTTATAGGCTACAGCAACCTTAAAAATAGGTTTATAACCGTGGAACATTAGGTAAGTTTAACAAAAAAAAAGAATCTGCTTTAAAAGACAAGACAGAATCCCTGTGTAAAATCCTCTTATAAGATGCAAACTGCTTTTGCCTAAGAAAAATACTTCCTTAAACAAGTATTTGAATGATGAAAGCACTTTACCCAGGGGCGAAAAAAATACAACTTTTTAGATTTCCGAGTTTATATTATCGAATCTTTAAAAAAAATACACAGCGTTGCCTGGTAGGTCCCAGACTTTGTGAGTTAGTACTAAACCGCTACCGCTTTCAGTTCCTTTACGTGACTAGCGTAAGGTATCATCCCGACTGGGCCATATCCCTGATTCAACAGTCACATCAATAAGAAATTACTATTGAAATTGAAAGAAAAGTTGTATATTAGATGACTTCTAATCCTCTATTTAACTTCTGGATCTTGAAAAGATTTTTTTTCAAGTTCCATCTGTTCCCCTGAGTTTTGAAGGCCTCTCTCCCCACCCCCAGCCATGAAACCCACAATTCTTATGAAATACCATGAACGCAGAAGGTGGGACACTGACACCAAATACTGTAACACTTGCAGCAACAACAGAATGACAGAAACAGACAGTACTGTATGTTATCAGTGTATAACGTCAGCATTGCCAAAAAATGAAAGATGATGGTATTACTTAGGTTAATTTTACCTGGACTGTATTGTACAAATAATATCTTACAGATTTTCAATTTGTTTAAAATTGTCTTCAATCAACCAAAATGACACAAAAGTTATGTTTTAGATTAGCTTCTGATTTTATACATATTTTTATACTTCTATTTCTAAATGTACTTTATTTTACAGCAGTAGTAAAATACTTACATTTCAACCAGAATTTAAAAAACAGAACTAAGACTTCAGGACACCACTGTGTATAGCTCATGCAAAATGCTGAAAGCAGTAATAAATTTTTCTGTCTCATTTTTAGCTTGACTGCATTAACAGCTATTTTGGGCTAAGGACAAGGTTAGTAATTTCATGTCCCTTTTGACTGCTTGTTAAATTACTTAATTGTACCGTAAGCTGGATCCCAGATACTCCAGTCATGTCAATTGCTATTTCATTTTCACTCTTACATTGCAGTCATGAATTATTCAAAACATATGACGTGCACAGAGTCTTTGATCTTCCTTGAAGACAAGTTCTAGGCAACTAGAGAAGTGACTTATAATCACTGCCCAATAAATAGCCAACGTTTAATTTGTAACATTGAATGTTGCTTAGATGTTGACTTTAACATTCAGAAAGTTTAAATATTATGATTTTTAAAAAAAACTTCTGTATAAAAATGATTAATTAGGGCTTTATTTCATTATAAGTCTAAAATGGAAAAACATTCTTCTGCAAGTTAACATCCATAAATAACTTATAAAACAGGTATAATAGAAATTATACCTGACTGCCATTCCTCATTAAGTGCACTTTCACTGCTGGGGTTATTTTCATCTCCTTCATCCAGCTCTGTACCATGTGTTATGCATTCGATGACATTAGCCTTTAAAGTAGACTCTTCCTCTTCACTGAATTCCTCACTAGGCTGCTCCCTAAGCAATTGTTCCATTGAGGCCCGGAGTTCCTGCAAATCTGTATCTGCCTCCCCAAACATACTAAAAGAAAGTGATATAAAGGTTATATAATTAATACTTTACAAGACAAACCCTGTAGGAAGAGCCCAGTTCTTTTGTTAAGACGACAAACTGGAAAGCCAATGTAGCTGGAGGAAAAAAAAAGAGTGACAAATATTTGTGTCCTCAGTCCAACATGATTGCAGCACTGATACCACTATATCATGCATGACACAGGGAGCAAAGATTAGCTAAAAAGACATCAGAGCATTTCGTAGAAAGATGATGACAGATCCTCTATTCAACTTAGTTAGTAAGAAAATGTCAAAATCTTTCTATTTGTGCACTACTATAGGACTGTGGTAAGTATGACATTCCCAATGCAGATAAACGTGTCTGAAGCAAAAAGAGATCTAGATCTCATCAGAATAGATACACCAGATGATTTCACCTCTGCAGGCTACCCAAGCTGCAGGGAATAGCCAAGAGTCAGGGTCAGATTTTGAAGCCGCTGAACGAATCTGGGGGACATGAAGGACATCCCGATACCATAGTAGAGAAGACACGAGTGAGATTGCCACAACATAAGAAGAAAGAAAATGTCAAGAAATCTTCATTTCTGGAAGAGTGGTAGGCATCAACTTTGATCTGCTTCAGTGGAATGCAAGACACAGAAGCCAGACAAAATAGCATCTTGGATGGAATTTGGAAAGCAAATTCTGAGAGCTATTATAAGCAGTACATCCTGTTAACTTCTCAGTTCTCTGGAACAAGACTCAAAATAAATGGTGATTCAGTACAGGATTTTTAAAATTTGGGTAAAAATCCCATGCTGGTATATTGCGTATAATTGTTAAGTGTCCAACCAAAAATATTCTTGATTTAAGATGCCTGTTGGAATACTTGATAAATTCAATACACTCACATGTCCTCAGAATCAGAGGGTCCTTCTTTGGCTTGCTCATCTTCTGTATCATCTATTTCAAGATTATGCTGATGCTGTACATCTGCTACACTGGGAACATCCACTAAAGTTCTGTACAGTTTGCAAAGATCCGGGAGCGAACACGTTCTCAGCATCTGCAAAGGTAGTAGAAAGTCTGTTTGGTAACGATACTGAAGACAGTCTAAGGTTACAAAATACTTTGAGATTTTCTGGGGGTCCTTTTTCATTTGAGAGTCAACTTCAAAATAACATGTCCAGCACAGACACTCTGATTGTTGAAAACTTGACATCTTGAATTCTGCCTCACGGCTAAAAGGAAAGCATTCCTTCTGCCTTTACAGGTTACAGTGACTGAGAAGCTTTAAGAACATCAACTAACATACAAATTCTGATTTTGTGCAGACTTGTTTATTACCTTGACAGCTATCTAAAGAAAAGGAATGTTGCAGTAGGTAAATAATATCTATATGCTATTGTTTACCATGTATGTATGTCAATCACTTTCAGCTTAGAAGTATTTTAAATAGCTGACAAAGGAGTATTTTTTAACACGACATTTTATTATTTCTCTAGGTTGCTCACTGAAAACAGTAACTTTTGTTTATGGTATATTTCAAGGCAGTTCCATAGTATTAGAAAGAAGTTCATTACAAGAAGTATTAGAAGTTCAAATTACAACAGTCATCTGTTGCAATGGAAATAAAGGAAGATGGAAAGTAACTGTTTGCTCAGTGATCTACCAGATCTCTCTCTTAAGAAGGCTAAGAACACCAAAAGAATACTAAATATTCACCATAGTATTAACGAAACAAGAAACAAGTCTTAATTGGCACTAAGAAATTTTTAGCAATTAGCCTCACCTTCCTTCAGCATAGCTCTGAATACATGCAGTGTTTGCTCCTAATGAAAACCCCTCCGTTTTAATGAAAAAAGCAGTTCTTCAGCTGCAATGTGTACCAGCACAGTGTATTCACATACATGCTCAAATATCAAAGGTCTGTCAGCACTGGGCCAGAAATTATTTCCATCAAAGGAAAAACCACCCTTTTTGACCACTACTACCAAAGTGAAGGAACCATTAGAAGACTGACTTCACCCCATCATTTGAAAGTTTCTAGGTATTTTGAAAAATGCTTCTTTTCTTATCGGCCTATTTCTGTTAGCATACAGACCTGCCTACAGCTAAGACACTGACTCTGTCTGCCTTGCTTCCCGCTGCTGAAGGTTTCCTTAGTTTCCGGGTGAGAGCTGCAGCAGAGGTATATTGGGGAAATTCCAGAAAGTTTTACACTTGCAGACAGTGCAAAGTATTGAACGTCCTCTTGTTGCAATCAAATGAGGAAAGGGCATTTGTTGCTCTCTTTCATCAGGCCTACTGCAGCAGAAACAACACTGCACCTGCTGCTTCTCTCCAAGCTCTCTGCTATTATATAGAGCTCATCTGGTACTGCGCTAACAGTGCTGTGGTGACAAACACTTATGGCCAGAACACGTGCCAAATATGCAGCAACAAGTGACACACTGAAGCAGTTCATATTGGTACACCGAAGAACTTCATTATAAAGCATATCCATTACTTTCCAAATCTGATAAGGGTACAAAGAACCTTCTTCTTCCCCCTACTCACAAGTTAGCTTTTCTGCAGTCATTGTCCAGCTGCCAGATAAACAGCTTCATAAAGTAGCGAAGTCAATGAAAATCTGAAATTGACTTGAGTCATAAATACATTTATGTGAATATATGGATCTGTGAAAACAGATGCAAGCTTGCCAAGCAGCCTTATTTTCCCACAGATGCAAACAGCACTATTTATTAAACAGCACAGTATTATGCTTCCTAGCAATGTATCAACCAACAGATATTATTCAATATTCAATTAATTATCAATAGTGCAACCTCTTTCATGCATTCACCAAAAAAGGCTGGGAGTCAAAAGAAGAAAGATTCTTCCTTATCTGGCGTTCGACCACCTAGGAAATCATTTACTACACACTGACTGAATGCATCGCAGGTGTGCAAGTCTCAAGAGAACCCTTGCCACCAACTTTTCTCCAAAAAGCAGCTGCTCTTCTATGCACTTTCCACTTCGGAACCCAGGCAAGTATTGCACATAATTTAAGAAGTCTGTTTCACCTACTAGTTCCATAACTATTCTTAAAATAGTTTAAATTCATGTCAAAACCACATTCCACCATCCTACGCTCATTTCACAGACTGTGAGTTGCCACTCTATCCTACGTAGCTGGTCAGTAAATGCCTTCAAGAAAGCAGTTAGTTCCGTTCACTCTTCTTCAGTCTTCCTGCTTCACAGCCAGAACCTGTGCTAGTTGGTTAAACGTTACAGGAAAAAAACAATCACTTGGTTGCCAGAAATTAAAGGACACCTTTGCTGATCTGTTCAGTGTTCATGTTTATGATGGCAAGGTAGCAGTAAGTCTGAAAAGCGCACAAAAGGAAGAAAGCAGATAGAGGAAGTTAGGAATTGCCTCAGTTATGTCTCAGAGGAGCGGTGGCATTCCTCCACAAACACCTGGACACAGAACGCTGAATGGCAAAACCAGAGCCTCTCACTGCTGTGCAAGTCCTGCTGATAAAACGAACACAGTGCAGTCACACTGCAGGGCAGACACGGCTGACAAACACAAACGCCTGCTGAAGCAGTTATGCCAGCTGTTCTGGCCTCACCCAGACTCAGTAAGAAAATAGTATTACAACAGGAAAACAAGTATTCCTTTTTAGTTTTTTAAACTTGCCTTTGGGTCGTTTGCATCAAAAAGCCCCGTAGAAAGTCCAATCAACAATGAACTTTTGCCTTTATTTTTTGCTGGTGATATGGAACGTGAACGAGGTACAAAAGGCTCTTCCTGTGAAGACTGAGCTGACAGGACTGGTGAGGCTGTTGGTACAGCTGTGGGCTGTATTACCCTCCGGAATAAGGGTTCAGGTTGCAGAAAGTCACTGGAACAAGTTTCTGATGTGGTAAAAGACAGTCTGTCACAAGTCTGAATAGATTAAAACCCCCAAGCTCTTAAGCAAAAGGTAACTAAAGTGAATAAAACTAACTCATTTCTGTTGTACAATTAAAAGAGAAAATAGATAGCACTGTAAAAGTATTAAAATCTCTTTGGATTATTTTAGTAAATAAATTAGTGTGAAATTCTCCCCTTTTAACTTTTTGACGATAAACAGCCCTCAACTATAGCCTATTCTGTCCTCATTATCCAGTCCATGTCTGAAATTACAGTATTACGGTGTCATCCATTTTCATCTGTTGCTTCTTGCCTTATACTAGATTTCTTCAAAGCTACCTCAACATAATTCACCCAAACACTGGAAAAAAACCCTCAGTTTGCTTAAGCCACCCATACATAGATGCAATAGTATCACCAGCGATACCTGACAGTATTGCCAATGTTTCTTCTATTCTACTGTAAAACATGGAGACCTCCAGAATTTACTTCAAAGACCTCTAAGAGCAAGCAATTCTTCTATGCAATAAAGATAACGGATTATCATTAGCAGCTGCTTTTTATCCAAGCTGCAGCTCAATATTAATTTCAGATGTCGATAAACAAAGCAACACTTTCATTAAGTAAAATAATCAGATTTCATAAGATTTTAAAAGGCTGTAACATTCAGAAACGTGACATTAACTTTTAAGTATCAGTGCAGGCCACTGCCCGGTTCATCTGTACATAGCATAGCTTCATTGTTATGTTTTCTTCCCAAGTGGCAAAAACAACACTCACAACTTGTCTTCCTAATGCAGCAGAAATTTGATTTTTAGAAGTATGAACTAAAAAAGAAAATTAAAACAGAAAACCTGCTCTTTTGGGGCTGGTAAAGAAGCGAGAAGGAATGGCTCAAGTATTGCATACTGCCAGCTACAATAAAAAAAAGAAGAGACTTCAACCGACCTTCTGGAGCTTCCTTTTGTGGTTGTACCTTGTCAAGTGCTAGTTTCTCAGAAGCTGCCTCGTTTCTTCTGTCATGTTGTGTGCCATTATAAAATACCACATCCAGGGGAAACATCATGTGAAAATAGTCATTAGTCTACTGGAAAAGTCACCAAGTGCAGTAAAACAAACATAGACAAGCAATGAAGCTTTAGCTAAGCTTAATGTTTTAACTGGTGTATCTAAATCCTACTCAGGTAAAGCCAGTTGTTTGATCTGAAGAGAGAGGGATAAGAAGAAGAGAGAACAACTTACTTATCCTCTTCCTCTTTTACCCACACTTCATGAACAGTGATAGGAAATTCCTTCCTCTCCTTACTCTGGTGCTTTTTATCTTCTGCTTCTTCCAAGATGTCTGCTTCCAAATCATCAGGCTCTAAAATTAGTAAAGTCATATACCTCATTAAAAATGAATCCCAAACAAACAAAAAGACAGAACAGTCTATGCATCTTAAGATTACACTTAAATCCTTCAGCTTTAATAATTTTCTGCATTTTTCAGAAACAACTGAAGTTTTGTAACCTCAGAGCTAAAAGTTTGTTCCTGATACAAGGAAAGTATCTTAAAGCTCCAACAAACTATGTCTTCTGAAAACCTCAGTAACATTTCCCTAGACATCAGCAGGATGCTGGTATCATACAGGGGAAAAGATTCCAGCACAACTGATGGGGGAGAAACAAACAAAACAACCCAACAGCAACAACAACAAATTTGAAGCACTTTAGAATTCCACTTGTATTCCAGAGAGTGTTCTATAAGCACAAGAAAAAGGTTTCTGGAAATTTATGAAATACACTAGTGAATCAAATTACAACACAGGCACAGAAAGCACTTGGTCCTACCTAGGAGGTGTTGATAAAAAAATACACATTACTTATGGGAAGATATAAAAGTATACGGGGTCATTACTTCCCTCACTGAATTCGAAAACAGACTGTAATTAGAATTACTAATGAAATGACTTACCATTGAGCATAACAGGTTTGCTCTGCACCTGAGTAGGTTCAGCTCTTTGAGTTTCTTCTGGTACAGTCATGTCAGACTCTGTGACACCAGCTGGTACTGAAGACTGAGCTCCAACAGTAGGAAGAGCTGTCTCTCCCTTTTCCTCTTTCGCAATTAAGGACTGACCATCTCCTTCAAGAAGTTCTGCAGTACCTAACACAAAATTATTCTATTATTTAAACAGATAATAAACTACAAGGTGACTGCAAGGTAAGTTGAGAAATTTTATTTCTACAAAGGAAAATAGAATAGATGCATGCTTGTATTAGAACTATTATAAAGAGGAAAGCTAGAAATATTAACATTTGAATTTTACTTGCTACATTATCATCAGTACAAGATTATACTTGGAAAGGACAAAAAGCAGGAGCTGACCAGAAAAACATCCACTGATATGGTAAGTCACACGCTAACAAGAAGGTTATAGGGCCTATCTAATACAATATTCAGTTGATGACACCCTTTTAAAAAACAGACTTGTTTCTATGAATAAACCAAGTCCAAGACTTTTCAACAAAATGAACATCCTCCCTATTCAGCACATCCTTCTTAATTTCTTACCACTTCAACAGAATTTGAAATATTTTGGTGTCTTCCAGTATCAGCTTGTGCTGACATGTAGAACTGAGGCAACACCAAGAAGTGGAAAGCAAAAGTGAGGACAGAATATGCTTTTACAACTTCAAAATTGTTCTCAGCAGACTAACTGGCAATCTGGCACCCCCTACGCTTGCAGTGCAGCTAGTGACCAGCTGTGCTTACCATTTGTTACCTCTAGTTCTTCGAGTAAGTCAGTTTGCGGCGGCAACTCTGCTCCTAGGATCTTCAGGACTGAATCGGTAGGGTTTTTGCCCCAGACCTTCCTGTGGGGTTCACCAATATCTAACTTAATTACTCCCCCCAGAGTTTGACCTGTTGGGACACAAACGCAAATCTAGAAACTTTCAGAAATTAGAAACTTTTATTGACTTTCTATATAACAAACAAACAACCTCCACAAAGCAAAAAACCACAAAGCCAGAACTCACATTGCCTCACCCCAAGTCAGGCAGCCTAAACACTGTGGTCAAGAGTCTGGAGTTTTTCTTCTGCCAGTTCCATTGAATAACAGGAGTTATTCAATGCCACTTAACATCTGCAACTCAATAGCTGCAGGAGATCTTTTCAGCAATTCAGGCACTCCAAACAAAAACAGTAGGAGAAATGTTTCAAACTGGCATGAGATGGTCTTCGCTTTACCTGAAATGGGAAACTAGAAAGTCTCTTGTCCTGCTATTCTTTGACATTTGTTTCTGTTATTTCTCCCTCCAAGGAAAATAGGAAATATAAAGCAATAAAGAATAGAGAAAAGAAAGTTTCTTCATCTTCTAACATCCTAGTCATGTAAAACTACTATGCTATGAAGTAAGTCTGTCACATTCTCAATGATTATTTATTTCTACTGTGTGAAACAGACCCTTAATAAGACATACTCAAAGCAGGAAAAAGGTCTTCCATCCAAAAGACCAGAGAAGATAGATAGAAAATTTGAAAAGACAGGCTTGATTCAAAAAGAAAAAAGCTAAGAAGGGTACAATAAAAGTAACAGATATAAACGGAGAAAACCCTCAGTTTTTATTGTTGTACTGATAACATAAAAGGATTTTGAAATTCAATAAGAAACTTCCATCTACCTTGAGTGCTTTTTATTCTTTCTGTTAAATTCATGCCTATTTAAAAGACACTCAAAAAGAAAGCTCAGAGAAAGTAACCGTGCATTTAATTAGGTAACTGTTTGTTGAAATTACGAAATCATTTGTTGAATCTCCTGCAGGTCATTTAGTTCCTCAGCCTGTGCCATACTCGTTACGCAAGGGAATACATAACCACCGTTTTTCAGAAGCAGGTGACATGCAGCTGATAAGACTACAATAATAAAGAGTACTTGCTTTATAAAAACAGACACCACACGTGGTAAAATGATTTACTAATATCACAGTGACAAAAAAAGTACTTACGGTCTGTTCCAGAGAGAGAATCTTCCATTGATAACTGAGCTAGAGGGACTACCAATTCAGATGCCCCAGATTCCCATTTTTTGCGATCTCCTAGACGTGGATGGTCACCGCCTTGTTGTTCCTTACTATCTTCAGACTGAGCTGATTCAGAGATACTTTTACACTCCTTTTTCCCTTTCTCATCTTCTTGAGCTTTAAGATTTTGATTTAATCTTCTCAGTATTTCTTGTTTTTTCTGAAATAAGGGCCAGGATAGATCACTTAAAATAGTACCTTTCTTAAAGGGAAAACTAAATGAAACTGAATACGATTTGACATACTTGCATTGCAAAATCTGGCTTTTTTATTTCCTCCTCAGCCTCCTGGGTAGCAGTTACATTTTCATCCTTTAAGACCAAGAAACATGAAAAAAAATGTAGAAGAATAGGTCAGAAAAAAAAATCTTGAGAATATTGAAAGATGTGATAGTGAAAAATCCCTTCTGAAACCTTTTCATTGACAGCTGCAGATAGACTGAAACAGAACGTATGATACTTCTGTCTTTATGGGGCTTCCCAAAGACAGAATTTCAAGGGCAGCTTCCATCTTTGAACGGTTCACTATGCGAAAGCAGTGAGCAAATGAATCAGACTCAGTTTAAGCAGACAAGTTAAAGTTCAGAGCACAAAACATGCAGAGATAAAGCTAGATATGACCTCTACAGCAAAATGCCACCAAATTCCAACCCTAGAAATGAGTAATTATAGAAGAGAACAAAAAGAAAAAACAAAAAACGGCAAAGACAGTGTCAAGGAGCATCTGTAAAGAAAGGCAGAAAGGAGAAGTGACAGCTTTAGTGATTACAGCATATATAACATCAAGTCAGTAAAGAGTAAGAAAACAGTAGTTCCTTGATATCTGAAAACACACCAGAAAGCCTGCCCAGATTAAGTCGATTGAGACAAGGCAGATGTACAGTTATACTAAACTAAAGCAAATATTCCATTATGAGGTGCGTTTGCCAGGGAAATACTCTGCATTGTTCTTCATCTGCCTTAATTATGAAGCAATGAAATTTCAACTATTGCATAAGACCTACCAGGCTTCCAAAAGCCATCAATATTACTCTTCAAAATGATAAAATAGTAAATCTGTAAAATAATCAAACTAAAAATTGAAGGAAAAAAATGCATATATATATATATCTTTGTGTATAATAATCTTTGTGTACAAGGCTTGTCTTCTTCAATTGCTCTCTGTGCTAATTTTTAGTCAGCTATAGTCACCATCTTGCATTACTGTACGACAAACTATCCACATGGAAAAAATGCGCTAATGATTTCAGTATTTGTCAAAACATGATTTGCTTGTTTTTCTAGCTATCAACTGACATATTCCAGTGTATTACATTTTATATACATTATTTAGCATTAAGTTTCACTATATTCTCATAGTTATAGCTTTCAGGGTTGTGTACAGTAGACGTAATTCCACACTACACTGAAATCTAGAAATAGCTCAGCTAAAAAACCAAAAGTTAGCATTCCAATTAGCACAGATTGTGTTAAAAACTCAAATTGTACCAACATTCGCTTGTATGCTCAGTTTCACAATTGTTACTTAAATTAAATGGTGGCAGTCGAGGTAAATATGTAAGCATTTACAATATTACAATAATATTACGAAACATTAAATTAATATTATTAAAATACTACTACAATAATTTACCCAAGATCACAGAAAATAGGAAGTAATAAGTCTCTAATACTGTTTTAGACAACAAGAAGAGACAACGCTATCCAAGTGTCAAACCATATGCTCTGCTATAATCAGCACATACTTTCAAACTCACTGAAAATAAGAATTAATATAAAATAGTCCTATCACTCAAAATTTTTTTCTCACTTCCACCAGGTTGCAAACTCCTTAACTTCCCTCTTCAAGAGGCTGACGAAAATTCTGGTGAGTTGATGTCTTCTTCCACTAATCATGACTGCCTTGGTCAAAATGGAAATTGCAGCCTGGGGTTCATCATAAGTAAGCCATTTTGTTCTAAACTGATTGAATTTGAGTTTCAGGGTACAGGTGTTTTTCAACAGCTTCTGAGTTTTGCGTTCTTTTTACGTTTTTTCTTTCCCTGATTAGAAGCAACAAGTGTCCTTAATGACTTTATTTCTACCTAATCTACACATTCTTCTAAAAATAGTTTTTCAAATATTTTTTGTGTGCTTGTGTGTTTGTTTGGGTTTTTTCATTTGCTTTACCTTCTTTGCAAAAATACCTACCACACCCACTTCTTTCAAAGCAGAAGTCATGGAGATGACTGGTGTACCAGGCTTCACTGGAAGTTGTGGCTTAGGAAGAGCTGCTCCAAGCTCTTGTAGTCCACGCACAGGACTGTGCTCTGGAGCTCCCACATGAAAAGGCACATTAGGATTCTTTACCCCTTTCGCTATCAGCTGTATAGATTCAATTAAAAAATTTAAATCAATAAATTAACTTCAAGACTTTGCACATTAAACCCAGTATTATCAAATAGGCTCACATAAGCCTTAAAAAAAGGACAATAATGCCACACATTTTCATACAAAATACAACTGCCAACTGCTTGTGTACATGATTTCCAGTCTTCCCGTTTCTCAACATCCTGGGTTTTGCAGCAATATTTTACTAGTTGGACTTGTCCCTTCACAGCACACAGACGCTAAAGCAGATTAAGTACACTTTGGTAAGTTACTTAATAAAGTAACTTTAATGATCTTTAGTAAGATCATTAATAAAATGCTTAATGATGCTTAGGTTTGACGTTCTGAAATTCGTGAACCAAAATCTTCATTTCAGTATACCCAAGATTAGGCCTCTACTAAGGGAATTGTGACTGACAGATGCTCTTCTCAGTTTCAGAGGACAAACTATCTAAGCTTGAAAAACAACAGTATAAGATTTTAGTTAGACAAAGATCTGGCACTACATGCTTTGATTGTGTGTAACAGATTTATTTTCTTACATGCTCTTCCCAGGCTCTTTTCTCTCTTTCATATGCTTCCTTTCTCTTTTGCTCTAATTGTTCTTTCAGAACTGCAGCTCGAGCATTTGCTTGGGCCTGTAGTAAACAAATAAGAAAAAAAAAGACCAACTTAAAATCATAAAAAGTATTAGTAGCCCATTCCGTGAAACATTTTAAAAAGAAACATTCTTGGATTACTTCATCTTGCTTTCTCTCACAGTATAGGCTGTGAAGGGAGGACTCTAACCCACAATCAAAATCAGCACATGAGTATAACAACTGATCTTCTATGTTGAAATAATGGCAGCTCCTTAAAATTTGATTATAATTCTTGACTTGCATGGTTATATTTTCAGTGTACATAGTAATCTTGAACAGAGTAATTTAAAATAAAAATCTCTACTTAAAATCAGTTTTGAAGCCAAATGCATTAATCATAAAATATTAAATATTCAGTTTAAACTTCACATAAACACAAAAAGCTTCAGTTGCTGTTTCACCTTTAGTTTTAAAGGTAGGCATAAGGTTAGCTTGTTTTTACATTGCTCTTTGAGAATGATGGGGGGCGGAACCAAATCACAGAATAGAGTAGTACTTGCTATGTATCGTATGGTAGAGTTATTGATATAAGAACACCACAGAGAATAAAGTTCCGATCAAACATTAGATTTCTGTGACACTCATTTGCTTTAAATGTACTTCATCACAGGGGTGCAGAGCTCACCTTCCAATCCACATGCAGCCCGTGTTAGCACATGTAAGGAGTGTTGCCCTCCTTTGTTCTTTTAACTAAAATAAAGTTGTTGTTATTTAAGGTATGCCTTCCTTTCCCTTTCAGTACCAAAATGCTACTTAGTTACACCAAATTGCCTTTAGGACTAAACCTAACCTAGAGAAAACTCTCGAAGGCAAGAACGGGAAAAATCCTTGACTTGCTATGCTATGTCTCAACATGCTTTAAAATTACTGAGATAAAACAGTTGAGCGGAGTTGTTACCTCAATACAGTTAAAATAAAAACCTCTTGTAGTGGATTTATGAACAAACTATTAATAGAAAAATGAAATGTAAGAAACTTCATGAGATACGAAATAAATTTGAAAACAATAAGTTCCATCTCCTCCCTCCCCACAATCACCTTCTGTGCTTCTATCTTTTTGCGTTTCAGTTCTGCTTCCTCGCTTGATTCTTGTCCATCAGAACTGGCAGTTTCACTCTGCAAAGTAAGAGTCCCCAGAAAATTATCATTAATTCATATAGCTAAAAGCTCAGTGATACAAGTGTATATTGGGATCATTTAGGCTGACTGTATGACTAACATGGATCATCATTTCACTAGGTAACTCCTCCCTTAAATGTAATGTCTACTTGAACAGAACTTCATCTTTGTGATTTGTGGGGGTTTTTGTTTATTTTCTTGGTTTTGGTGGGAGAGTTTTGGTTTTAAAAGATATGAAGCCTTTAGAAGCCATGAAGAAAGTAACATGCCTACTGTTGCAAGGGAAGTGACCTAACCCTGCCACCCCATCACTGTTGCATGCTCTGCAGGTAAGGTATACAAGAAAGATTTGATCCTCTAGAATTCCAGTTTCTTCCACTGTATGTGCTCCAGAGAAGGTGGAATGGGTGAGGGGGGAATGGTAACGAGTAAGAAAAGGTAAGGTCTACCTCTGAAATCTCTGTTTTCAATCTCTCTTACTTCTTTCCATGGCTTCCGCATATTCCTATTTACAGAACAGACTGACAGAGCTATGCAATAAAAGTTCTGACAGGAGCTTTTTATTGTTCGTGAACAACTTGTGCAGACCTTTTATTTAAAATAAACTGTTTAGAAGCCCTATTTAGTTGGCTTCTTGCAGTATACGAGTATTATTAGAAATAATTTGGCAAAATACAAGCAAGAATTTTAAGTAAATTTTTAAGTGAAAATATAAAAAAACAAGGTCATGCCCACCTTGGCTTCAGTCAGCTAACAGGAAAAAAAGATGACTGGAAAGAACACTGGAGACAGAAAAACTCCAGAAAAATAATTTGGCACTCTTCACAGGCAAAGGAACGAATACATACATTCATTTATTGTATATACAATAGGATACTATGCCGTATAGGACACTATGCAATAGCAATAGATATGAAATTGTTAATCAACAGAAGGAAATAAACATATGACAAGATTTGGTCAGAGATGATGTGAACCTCTAGAAGTGAACCTCCACGCTGAAGTTTGCATCTGCAGGTCATCAAGAAAAAAAAAAATCTTAAACTTGGTCTCTGAATTTTGAAAATCTAGTTTAGGCTTACTTCCTGGAACAATATTAATCTACTCTCTGTTCCTTTCTAGATGGCATACGTTCTGGGGCACACAACACTACCCCAGGTAAAGTACAGCCACTGGGAAATGAAGTTAAGTTCCTGATAAGCCCCTACAGAGAATTAATGTCATGGTCACAGTATCAGTATTTTGGTTTGATTTTACTCCCACAAGCAGCCTTGGCCTCCAGAGAAAAGGTTTCTGGAGCAAACCTTTACTTCCGCAGTTAACCATACTGCAGGCAGAGTGTGGGTGCTCCTAATTTTGCGAGGAAGTGTTGCAGATGCTCAGTGAAAAAAACAAAAGAAACAGTGCAGTACAGCAATGGCTCTATACTGGTAACTCTTTAGCACTGTCCTCAGTATTCTAAGGGTACTCAGGAGACACAGTAAGACTTCGTAGGGCTGTGTACAGAGATGACTCGTCCCACTGAAGCAGTTTTGAAGCTTGTCCAAAACAGCAGAGGAGACAGTTAAAAGTGAAATTAGCACCAAAAGCAATTAAGACAGCCTTATCGTGCATCAGCTTAGCATTTTATGTGAGTCAGCACTAGTGATAAACTTCACAGACCAGCCTCTACAGTAATTTCATACACTCACAAGACCTTGATTTTCCCCATGCTCCTGAAGAACAGCCCACTTTAGTCCCATGCCAGTCTTAGCCACTAGTACATCTTACAGAGTCTGCATAGTCTTCTCAGGTAGAAACGTACATAACTTCTGCTCTGGATCACTCATTTTAGATTTAAAAGGGCACAGGTTCCTCCCCAAAGCACTAAAAGAGTTTTGCACCTCAGTCAAGGGACTGAATTTGCCTCTCTTGCATCTCACCAGTGAGATGCAATCAAGGTTAAAGAAAAAAAAAAAAGAAAACAATTCAGAAGAAGTCACTAATACAGAAAAAAAATAGAATATTTTAGCATAAAAAAAACCCCAAAACCAAAACCTGCAGCAATGCAGAAGTCTATTTAGCTGAGACAGTGGTCCAAAGAAACTGAGTGGTACTGAGCATGCTCTTGCCTTGTATGTCCACTCACTACACGTAAGATGCATGAAAGCACTTAGTATGGGTGCTTAAAGTGCAGACAGGGGCAGGAGCGTTTCTCTAGTTTTAAATCAAAAAGTACAACGTGAGTATTGAAAACACTATTAAGACAAATGGACAGGAAGGGGAAGAACAAGACAAGCAGTACAAGATCACACAGCAGGTTAATGAAAAAACGATGGAAACAAACTCCAGACCACATTTACTACATAGATTGTCTCTTTTTTAAACAATGGATTGCTTCCAGGGCTGCCTTGGCTTATTCATTTGACACTTTAAGAGGTGTTTGTTCTGAATCTACTTTATGAACATATTTTCATTTTGTTGTATTACAAACATATTTTGGAAAAGTGATGTTTGAAAAAAGTGTATTGATTAAATTGAGCTCATGCCAGGAATTTCTAACTTTAATACACACTTACAGAATGTATGAAAATCATTTCGTATGTGTTCCACGTAAGCATTGTCAAAAAGTGAATGCTGGATAAGTTCCTATAACTAAAAGCAAATAAATATAAACATGCTCATGCTTGATGAGCATTTTACGTGTCAAATTTAGATGTAATCTTATGTCGTCTTGTTTTTAAAACATTGTTAGTTTACAGGCACTGAAGTTGCACCCCCAGCGCTTAAATAACAAACAGATTTTGCATATTCTGGAAGAAAAGATGGAAGTACAGTAACCGCGGAACAGAATTAAATGTCAAAAATACATGGATATATATAAAACTGCCTATGAGAAAAGTCTTTCCACAGGGATAAAAGAACACATCCCACAGCCAACTTCCAGAAGTATCTAAGATTATTTTTCAAACCAACCTTCTCTCCACGAAGTTTTGCTCTAATCTGTTGACGTTCATTGAAGTTTTGTAGCCGGATTTGTCTTAATCTTGCCAAATATTCCTAAAGCAAAGAAGGGAAATAAGTTTCGGTTATACTGAAACTGTCTCCAGTATGATTAACTTAAAACATAAAAGATTCCACAAAAAAATAAGATGGGTGGAAAAAAAAAAAACACGCTATTACTAACACCATATTAGCATTTACTAATCTCCAGAAAAAACTCTCATCTAATGAAAATAAAACTGGAACATATGTTTCCAAGTATTAAGCTATCATTACATTTTGTATCATTGATGGCTAGAAATGGTTATATTTATCACAGCAGGATTAAAATACACAGTCACATCTGTATGTATGCACATTCAAGAATTTCTCTGAGACAGACTGATGTAGACAACTATTATTTTGATTATTTAAAAAACATACACCTAACAACACATACACCTAAACTCTAGAACTTTATACAGTAAATTATTTCCTAGGAATTTATAAACTCCTCTTTTATTTTGTTACACAGATGAACCATGCAGGAAAACTAAGCACAGTCAAGGTCAAAATAGTGCTATTTGTGTGACGAGCAAAGTGGCAAACATGCGGCAAGCATACCTCTTCCTCCTTGTTTCTGGATTTTCTTCCTCTTGCAGAAATGGGCCTGCCTCCATAGATATCTGCCACGTTTTGCAGTGTACCCTGTTTGCCATTTAATGGTATCAAATTTAAGGTGGCTGGGGCAGCAAAATTATCTGCTTTATCCAATAACTGTTCACTTACAAGAAACCAAACCCATCAATGATCTGCAGTTGTTCTGAAGTTAATTGATAAGCCCTTTTCACTTGCACAAAACATATGACAGTAGTAACTAGAAATCCTGAGTAGCCAGAGAGACTAGAGCTTTAAGAATATAGTTGGCCTCTCCCTGCAATTCTGATCGTCTCCTGCTATGTTAGAAAGCCTAAATTCTGATGAGCACCAATTTTTCTTCATCTGGATTATATACAAATTGTAGCACAGAGTTGGCATTTCTGTCATTGTTGAGTCAAGCCTAAAATAGAAGTGGAACCTTTGTATGTTCTTAGATTAAGCTTTTCCACTATGACGATTTCTTTAAAAAAAATATACTACAATTAGCAAACTCAAAAACCTAATAAAATACTTAAATATACATATTCTACCTAACAAGCTGTGTTAAATGCTTAATACGTATGCATCCACAGTGGATAGTCTTGGTTAGTGTGCTGTACTCAGTGTCCTAACTGTCACCAAAAGGATTCAATCTTCAAGGAAGTCCAATACAAAACAGTACAAGAATCATCTAACTCCAGGTTTCCTGCTTGGCTTAAAATCCAAAATATCTAAATTATTTTGTTCACCATACACCATAAATCTCTGCTGAACAGGTTAAAAAAATATTGATTTAACTTAACATACAATAAAGACTGTAAGCATACACGTGACAGTTACATGGACCTTCTGCCTTAGAAAACACCA